TTCCACTTTCTCTGTCTTTGTCTCTCAGTCCCAGGTGAGCTCTCGTGTCTCTCCAAAGGCTAGCTCTTATCCTAGATTCCTGTCCCTGCTCTGTCCATTGTCCTCCTCCTGCTAACCTCTGCTGAATTCACATGTTCTGACGTTCCCATTGTCTTTCAGGATCCTCCATTGATATTGGTGGGCTCCAGCCAGTCCTCTAATAACTGTCTAGGATGGGATGAAGAGTCAAGTGACACGTCTTCAGCTCTGCCCCAATAGAGCTTTGTAACCTTATTGTGCTGACTGGGTAGCAATCCTTAGGCAAGTCACTGCCCTGCCTACCATTCATAAAACTATTACACAGAATTCCCACTTCATCACCGCAGTTGAGTGTTCTGCTGCCCAGACACAGCTGCTGTAAAGTTGTCCAGAGTCTGTCCTAGGGCAATGCTCACATGTACTAGCCTGCACAATGACCCTTCCCACTCCGGACAAGCACTGGTTGGATGTTGAAAGGCCCCACTTTACCTGTCAGTGATCAGATCAGCTGCTTTGCCACTTTCCCTCTCTCCCACCTCTCCTGTCTGCCCCATGGCTTTCATATCCTTTACCCACAAAAGACCTCCCTGGCCAATTATCCATATCACACCAAGGCAAATACAACACAATTCCCAGAGTTAGAACCCTACCAAATTCACAGCCATGAAAAACATGTCATGGACCATGAAATCTGATCTCCCCCAGTGAAATTAGGCCTGAATAAAGACTGGGAGTGAATGGGTCATTACAAGAACTAAAAACTAATTTCCCCATGCTATTTTCCCCTTACTGTTACTCACATCTTCTTGTCAACTGTTTGAAATGAGCTATCCTGATTACGACTACAAAAGTGATTTTTCGTCCTTTTGATAATAGCCCACTTCAATTGAATTGTCTCAACCCCCCACTTGGTAAGTCAACACCCATCTTTTCATGTACTGTTATATATATATCTTCCTACGGTATTTTCCACTCCATGCATCTGATGAAGTGGGTTTTAGCCCACAAAAACTTATGCCCAAACAAATGTGTTAGTCTCTAAGATGCCACAAGTACTCCTCGTTGTTTTTGCTCATCCAGACTAACACGGCTACCACTCTGAAACCTATAAGAATCTGTGTACCAACTAATGAAGGCTTGACAATAAGCTGAGGCCTAGTGGGTCTGTTAATAGTTATGATAGCCTATGTAGGAAAGGATGTTAGCATGACAGCTTAACCCAGGGGTCGGCAACCTTTCAGAAGTGGTGTGCCGAGTCTTCATTTATTCACTCTAATTTAAGGTTTCGCGTGCCGGTAATACTTCTTAATGTTTTTAGAAGGTCTCTTTCTATAAGTCTATATTATATAACTAAACTATTGTATGTAAAGTAAACAAGGTTTTCAAAATGTTTAAGAAGCGTCATTTAAAATTAAATTTAAATGCTGATCTTATGCCACCAGCCTGCTCAGCTCGCTGCCAGCCTGGGGTTCTGTTCACCTAGGCCAGCAATGGGCTGATCAGGGCCTGCGGCCGGGACCCCAGACCTGGGGGGGGGAGTGTTTCAGGGGTCAGGGCAGAGGGCTGGGGGAGGGGGTTCAGGGCAGAAGGCTGGGATGTGTGTGGGGGGGGTTCAGAGATCAGGGCAGAGGGCAGGGGGGTGC